GTTCTTTTTCAAATACATACCATGTACTTTTGTGTGTGAGAGCCAGAAGTATGAGGAATTGACCTTTAAAGTCTAGACAAATTTGTGTTCTCTTTATTAGAATTCTTAGAAATCAAGATTAGACTCCTTTTAGTGTATCTCTGGTCATTTATGCAGTTAGCTGTAGCATAACTTATTAATACATTTATACAGACTATAAATGAATTGTATACAGTATTATACATAAAGGATTAAGAGTGCTTTTTCCAAGATATATCTGAATAGCTACTGGAAAGACACATTAAGTACAGTGTTGTTTCAAGCAGTTAAGTACATGACCTTATTGCCATTTGGGGGAGGGGCGAGGGTAACAAACTGTGGGATATTTGTGCAGTTGAATATATTCAACAGTAGAAAAGAGTAAATTAATGACACATGCAATATCAGGGATGAATCTCAAAGACCATTTTGTTGTGAAGAAGCCAGAAACAAAGAATTTACTGTATGATTTCATTTTTATGAAATTCTAGAACCAGAAAATCTACTCTACGGTGATAGAATTCAGAAAGTAGTTGTTTATGAGAATCAGAGGAATTGACTGGAAAAGGGCATGAGAAATCTTTCTGGGGTTATGGGAATGTTCTAGATCTTGACAGAACTCATTAAACTGGACACATAATAAATGTATAGTTTGCGTCATAATTTAGGGTAGGAGTGAATGTTAAAAAGAAAAGGATTTATAATTGCAATTAGAAGATAGGAAGTAACTTTCAGCATCCAGTTATGAATTCTCTATTCTTTTACATCATGTATCTTTTTGTTTTTTAGAAACTTAGGTTATTTGTTTGCCGTGTGGACTAAAGACCTCAGGTCATTTAGAAGTATACCTTCTTTGATTTTTTTAGTTTGGAAAAATAACTGATATGTTCGTTTTTGTGTTATTTGAGACATAGATTTAAAAATAGTTTGAATTTTTTTAATGGTTTATTATTTATTTTTGAGACAGAGAGAGGGGCAGAGAGAAAGGGAGACACAGAATCCAAAGCAGGCTCCAGATGCTGAGCTGTCAGCACAGAGCCTGATGCGGGGCTCAAACTTACAAGCTGTGCGATCATGACCTGAGCAGAAGGCAGACGCTTAACTGGCTGAGCCACCCAGGTGCCCCAATTCCAAAATATTTTCACCCCCAAATTGCACAGTTGGATACCACCTTATATTGGTATCCCTTAGTATAACAAATGTATGATGTGTCATAAACTTCCCTAAACAAGCTAATTGTAAATATTAATATTGAGGGGTTATGTCTTCCTCTTTCTTCTGCCCCACTACTCTCTCATTTGCTTATTTTCGGTCTTTCAAATGCAACCCCACGTGACTCGGGTAGGACACTATATTGTGTCAAGTTTACATTTACCTACATACCAGTTTTGCTGTTTGTAGAAAATAGAGCACTTAACCTCTAATCAATTAAGGTAAAGGGCTAGTGTTATATAATATTGATACTACATCTCTCTTGTGGGAGGTTTTAATTGTCCTTTACAGAAACCAACCCACACACTTTAGATTAGTCCAAAATCTCCTAAAGTTCAAAATGTTATCTTTACAACAAGATTCTAATATGCATTGAAATTCTTGAAAGATTTTAGTTGTTGTTGTTGTTGTTGTTGTTGTTGTTTCTCTTTTCCTTTGTTTTGGCTACAGTATTGAGAGACCTCTCAAATCTTCGGTCATGAAGTTTCTTATGGGACTACTTCTTTTATTCCATGAAATATATATAATGGGAAACTGGTTTAGGCATGAATTTTGGAAGAGGGCTTGGTCATTTTTTCTGGTTATTTTCGTTTTCTTTGTCATGCTTTTTCAAAAATTAAGACTTCGCATATATGTGGAAGATGTTTATCAACAATGTTTTCAGGACTGAAAAATTAAACAGGAATGAGACCAGCAGTGCTCACTTTTAAATGCACATTAAAATCACCTGGAGTCTTAAAAATATACTGATGTCTGGGCTCTACTTCTGATTCAGTGTATATAGCTGCTGTATCAAAGCACCATCAACTGGGTGGTTTAAAACAACAGAAATGTATACTTTCACATTCTAGAGGCCCGAAGTCTGCAATCAAGATGTCAGCATTGCCGTGCTTCCTCTGAGATCTAGGTAGAATTATTCCTTGTCTCTCCATAGCTTCTGGTGGTTGCTGGAAATCCTTGGCATTCTTAGTAACTCAGTTCTAAAGCCCAATTCTGCTTCTCTATTCATAGGACATTTTCTCTCATTTCTTCACAATATCTTCTTGTAAGGACACGGGTCATGTTGGATTAAAAGCCCACCCTACTTCTGTATGACCTCATTTTAACTAATACAGCTGCAAAAAAACTTCTTTGCAAACGAAGTCACATTCTTAGGTACTGGGGATCAGGACCGCACTCTTTTTGGGGACACAATTCATCCCCAAATCCTCAGTAAGCCAGAATCTCTGGGAGCAAAGCCCAGACATAGGCATGTTTAAGAACTTCCCAGGTGATTCTAATGCAAAGCAGGAATGGGAACCATCCTAATGGGAATCTGACCAGACCAATGGGGCCTCTGAGACCAAAGATATGCATGACCCTCATTCTCACTGGTCAGTTGACCTCTCACAAGTTAGTTATTTTAGAACTTTTTTTTTCTTTTATATTTTTTAAAGCCTGCTCTCTTAATATTTGCATTTTTGCACCTGAATAAGTATTTATTTATTTATTTAATTTTATTTATTACATATGTAGTTTGCTTTTAACCATTCAAATATTTATTAATTATGGAAAAGACAGTTCCTCAAGGCCTATGTGCCTTGATGTCTGAAGGTATAAATATATTACTGCTCAAAGAAGAAAATGTTAATAAGTAGGTATCTTATTTAATCTGTAACACCATAATAGTTCATTGGAGGCAGTTATATGATATATTTGCACATTAGTTTAAGGGGGAAGGCTCAGGGCTTCGCAGGGGGGATATGGAATGGGATGTGTTAACAAAATAGTATCAGGAAATACAATACCAAGTTTCCCTGGGCTACAACTAATATGTATTTCATGAATTTCCCCTAATACATATATGTGGTTGAATTGGAGCTAAGAGAAGGGGGTAGTCTGAAAATTATTTGAATCAAACAAAATTATTCCAATGTTAAATAATAATCGATTTCTATGATGCCTTAAAATGTGACCATCCAAGTGTGTCCAGAGCAGTGCCATGATGAAATAGCTGTGAATAACTCCTCTGGTATTGTTATTATGGTCTGTCACATTGATAATTTGTATGCTAAATGATCCTTAGACACTGCTGAAGCGATAGAATCTAGGGATTTCTTTAAATTGATAATTGTCTAGAATTGAAACCTGCTTTGTTCTGTTATTTTGTGTTGTCTAATAGGCTATGAAATGGTTGTCTTTTGGGGCACCTGGGTGGCTCAGTCTTTTAAGCATCGGACTCTTGATTTAGGCTCAGGTCATGATCACGGGGGTCATGGGGTGAAGCCCCATGTTGGGCTCCATGCTGACAGTGTGGAACCTGCTTAGGATTATCTCTCTCCCTCTCTCTGTGTCCCTCCTCTCTCTCTCTCTCTCTCTCACCCTCCCTCCCTCTCTTCCTCCCACTTGATGAGTAAGTAAGCTTAAAAAAATAAAAATGAAAGGATTGCCTTCTTGGGCTCCTTTTTTATCCAAAGAGGGGATTGGCATCTGCTGATCTGCTTGCCTGTAGAACCAGTTTGCTAACTCGTCTTTCCCTACTTTGTCTATGTTCAAATGAAAGGTTAAAATGTCAGCGAAGGATGAATTTATTTCCTTTGCATTTCTACAGTACTGCATTAACGAAACTCAACACTCGCGAAGGAAGTCAAGTTCCTATGTATTTACCTCTTCTCTCCCCCGATTCTTTCCCCGCGGTGCCCCAGGAGCGAGTCCCGGACAGCCCTTCGCCTGCACCCTCTCTGGAGGAGGGCCGGAGGCCTGGCAGCCACCCATCATCACACCGCAGCAGCAGCGTGTCCAGCTCCCCAGCACGGACCGAGAGCTCTTCTGACAGAATCCGTAGGTCTCATACTTCTACTTGTCACCATTTTAAACTTTATTAGGTGCAGCTGGCTTTTCTAATCAAAATGCCCTCATTCCAAATAGATCTCAGATGTATCATGTTCTGAAGCTCTGTAGCAATAGCCATCTCTCAAAATTATGTTTCCCAGTTTGCAATATCATGAGGTATGGTACTACATTAACAGGTTCTGATATAAACTCCCTCTCCTTGATGCCACACATAAAGATTTGAGCTATGAAACAGAGAAAGTAACCTTCCAGATTAGTTTCTGAAGTAAACACCTCCAGCTCGCAGGTAGCTAGTGGCTAAGTATATGGCTTAGGGATTATTCAACTTTATTCCTTTGTCCCCTCCTCCCCCCCACCACCAGTTCTTGAAATTTATCCATTTTCAGAATTCACCCCTGCGTTGAGAAAAATATCCACAGAGAGAAATAAAAGTAAGTAACAGTCAAAACGATAGACTTAAAAAATTGCTTTGTCATTCTTATGACCACTGGATGGAAGAATTTTAAATTGTTTAAATTTTAGGATTTGAATTAGTAAGTCAATGATGCATATCATTGTCAGATATTATTATTAAATTCTAAAGAGCAGGGGCTCTATTGTATTTCATGATAACGTTTTTAGATATTTAACCAAGAAAATCAAGAGTAAAGTTAAAAATACCATTCAATGAACTGGTTATTTTGTATCTGTATTTTGTGTTAAGAATCTAATACTTTTCTTCCAATAAAATGAACATATTAACAGTGACTATATCGGTTGACAGAATCAATATCCATTGTATCCTTTCCAGGATTTAGTTAATTTGAAGGAATCATGTTTGTGGTATGAACTATATCTAATTGCACATAACTTACTGAAGTTATTTGGTTGTTGAGAATATTTTTATAATAGGAAAAACATGTGCTACAAAGTGTCTTTATAAATCATAAAGAATGTTTGCATAAAGCAGAAATCCTTAATATGAATATTATTGAGATAGATAACAAATATTAGGTTAAATTGTATATAATACCATTATTTAAAAAGTAGTTAATTATTGATAATTATACAGTTCAAAATAATTCTAAATATGAATACTTGATTTGGCCTGTCTAGAACATATTTCCCTAATTTTGTAAGAGATGATAATCATTGTGTATTAATAAAAGTGAAAATATCATTTGATAACCATTCCAAATCAATGACATTTGCTGGGGCTGGCAAACTTTAATTCCCAAAGTTTGGTTTCGTTAAAACAATTTCTCATATAAAATATTTTCTGTATGCTTATGTGCAGTGCTGACATTAGATTTTATGATGCATATTCATTTCATATTTTATGCTTTTATAAGATGTCGTCAGTGAAAAGGCACTGTCCTAGAGAAAGAAAAATATTTTTTCATGACACTTAAATGGAAATTATGGGCAGATAGGGAACAATTTGAAATAATTTTGTTATACATTCATGTTTTAAATTAATCATTGTATTCTTTTTTATTCTTGATAGAACAAGGGAGAAATTTTTGCATGCTTGGACTACCATGAATGTCCAAATGGAAATACGTACACATGCACACAAATGCATGCACACACACATATGCAAATACATGTTCACATATGTGCATATTTTAATGTGTTTTTTTGAAAATTAGACTAACAGACATTTCAAAAATAATACAAAAAATTCTTTCACACTCGTTACCCATATTCACCCGATCATCAGTGTCTCTGAAAGAGATATTGGCCTAATGGCACTTTAATGTTCCTATTGTGGACATCATGATTCTTTACCTCACATACATCATTGTTTATGTTCTAGAAACAAGGAATTTCTCTTACATAACCACAGAGTATTGATCAAAATCAGGAAATTAAGATTATTATAGTGCCATTCTCAAAACTATAAATCTTTTTCAAATTTCACCAACTTTCCCACTATTATTGATTTTTATTTTTTTTCTCACTAGTATTTTTAGTAGCAAAAGATTTTCTTTACTGGTCCAAAAGCCAACCCAGGATCACATGTTGCAATTGCTTGTCATATTCCTTTAGTCTCTTTTAATCTGGAGCCATTCCTCAGTCTTTTTTGTCTTTCAGTATCTTGATATTTTTTAAAGTATATAGGCCATTTATTTTGTAGAACTTCCCTCAGATTGGATGTTTTTGTTTTCTCATGATTAGACTTAAGTTATGAAATTTTGGCAAGGATCACAGAAGCATGATAGCATGCCGTTGGTGTATCATTCCAGGAGACATTTGTTTTTCCCATACTTGTCATAACTATCTCTTGGTTAAGGTGGTAAATACTAGATTTCTCTGCTGTAAAGTTACTCTTTTTTTTCTTTAAACCTTTGTAAGTAATAAGTAACAATAATAAGTCTTGTGAGGAAACATATTAAGACTACATGGATATTATATTTTTCATCAAACTTTCACTCCACTCGTTTTAGAATCATCTGCTGAAGATTCTTCCTTCACACAATTATTGCTATGGTGATTTCCAAATGATAATTCCTAATATAGTTTTATGATATTTTCAAAAAAATCTTATTTTTTCAGAGAAGGTAAGTTTTTATGGAATATGTATTCATCCAACTAGGATTTTCATGGGCAATTTATTAAGAAATTTATTGACTGGATTTTGAAAATCATAAGGGTGTTTTGTTATCTACTTTATTATTTCAGCAGTTACAGGTTACTATCAATACTTCAAGAAAGCAATTATTATTTTTATTCATTCAGCCATTTAATAGATATTAATTGGGCACTTGTATATTCAAGTTTGAGTTCAAATCCAAATTTTAAAGAAACACTTTGGTATCTATGAAACCTTGTGTTTTATTGACTAGTATAGATTATGAATATTGAAACAGTTATTTCAGTGCCTTATCTTGTTGAAAGCTAACAGCTTTTAGTGCTCATAGTGTTATGGCCATTCAAAAGTATTCCAGATATTAAAAATATTATATTCTTTGTGAAATAAAAATAAGATAAAATGTTTTCATTTCCACTATTTTTCTATTCTTAAGATTATCATGGTTACCAATTCTCAGTATTCTTAGAGTTAGATTATAATACCAATTTAGACCATCATATTTTATTTATTTTTGAGTCCAAATGAGTTTATTTAATTTGTTTGAACATTGTGTGTTATGGTGTTTCTGTCTTTGTTCTTTTGTTTCGGGCTTGACAGCTGTCCATCAGAATGGGTTGTCCATGAACCAGATGCTGATGGGTTTATCACCAAACGTCCTCCCTGGGCCCAAAGAGGGAGATTTGGCTGGTCATGATATGGGACATGAATCGAAAAGGATGCATATTGAAAAAGGTAATATATGATTATGTGGCCTTGTTTTTCCTGTTCAACATGTGGACTAGATTTTAATCATAGAATGAGTGATTCAATCCCACAAAAGATGGCATATAAACATGTTAAAAACCTATAATATTAGGTAAATATTAAGCCTCTTCAGCAAAAAAGAAGTATGAATGAAAATCTGCTGTTTTTCCTTACATACAATAGGTAGGTGATAATTTACTTTCCAGTACCTTTAAAATGTGGACAGTTTATTTTAATTGTTATCACTGAGTTTCCAAAGACCTACTATTTGTCTTTCTCAATGTTACTAGGGCCAATTGTCATTTTTCTTTACCTGATAGAGCTACAATAACATAGAAGCATTATTTTGAATATTTTTGGTTTCAAATATACGTGATCGTTGGATCAATGAGGAAATAGAAGTGAATCTTACCAAACAATGTACTAGTAGCATTTCAAAACTTAACAGAAGACCATGGGGGGAGGGGAAGGGAGAAAAAAAAAAGTTACACAGAGGGAAGGAGGCAAACGGTAAGAGACTCTTAAAAACTAAGAATAAACTGAGGGTTGATGGTGGGGGTGGGAGGGAGGGGGAGGGGAAGGGGTTGATGGGCATTGAGGAGGACACTTATTGGGATGAGCACTGGGTGTTGTATGGAAACCAATAAAAAAATATTATATGTAACAAATAACAAAGCCCAGATTGTGTAAAGCTGAAAGTTTCCTATTTGTATTTCATTTGTATCACCCTAATCCATTTTCACAGGCAGATATTGGTATTTTCATGTCCTATTTCATAAAATACTTTCATGAAGAAATTTAAATATTATTTTGGCATGCATGTTAAAAATTTGTGCTAGAGGTGCAAATTTAGTGTTTCAAATAGTAAGGTTGAATTGTGATTATAAGAATTCTTCCACATCTTTTTCATCTTAATTTAATATTTTTAAATTTTATTAATATAGACTGGGTACTTTGACTATCTTTTGACATGAATACCAAATAATCAGCGTTATAAAAAGGATTAACTCTTTGGAAAACATAAAAACACCAAAAGCACAATTAGCTGTCAAAAAGGAAAATAAATAAAATTGGGTATTTAATGATCAAACAGAAAGAAATGATTAGAGAAAGACAAAGTTAGGGTGGGGCAACTTTTTAGAAAAAGACTATTCACAAAAAGTAAAAATGCTTATATGAAACTTTTTTCCATTCAACATAAAAACAGTCATGCTGAGCCTTTGGGGAGAAAGAGTACATTATTTCTACAAATTAGATTACCTGTGTGGGGTGCCTGGGTGGCTCAATAGGTTAAGCGTCTGACTTCAGCTCAGATCATGATCTCACACTCTGTGAGTTCGAGCTCCACGTCAGGCTCTGTGCTGACAGCTCAGAACCGGGAGCCTGCTTCAGATTCTGTGTCTCCCTCTCTCTCTGCCCCTCCCCTGATCATGCTCTGCCTCTCTCTGTCTCAAAAATAAATAAAAACATTAAAAAAAATTTTTTAACAAAGATTATCTGCATTATGCATTATGGAATGTCAGTGAGAAAATTATAATCTTTTCTAGGTGCCAATATGTCAAAATCTAGGCATAATTGAGAGCAGCATTAAGGCAACTTTTTAATTTTTCATTTTGAAATTTGATATCAAATGCTATTACTAAGCTAGATGGACTATATGCAATGCATCAGTGAGCTAGATGGTCTCTAAATATGTAATTCTATTTTTTTCACAAGCTCTTCTTTAGCAATGAATGAAAATATTTTACATATTGTACCTTACATATATTTTGACATATACCTTTTATATTTGATCAAAACCTATTTGTAGAAATATAAAAAATAGCATCATGAGAAAATATAAAGCTTCATAGGAGATGTAAATTTTAAGTAAAAATATTTAAATATAAGAATTCATTGTATAAGTTAAGCAACCATTCTCCATCAGGGTTCTGTGAAAGAAGAAAGTCCTACGGAAAATGATTGAGTCATTCATTTCTCAGTTTTCCCATGGATACTACATAGCTGATTTCACATGGAATGCATAAGGGGGAAGTTATTTTATGACATATAATAGATGTCGAGATATTAGGGCTTAATTTTTTTCCAGAACCTAATGGAGAAGGGCTGGGTGTAAAATATCAAAGCCCAAAGGTGGTAGTGAGAACACCACCAAAGGCATGATCAGTAACATGATTAGAATAGTGAGTTCCACTGGAATTTTTGGTAGACAGCTTTGTACAAACTGATACTTCAAGTTGAGTTTCCCTACTATTTCCATAACTATTTTTTTCATGAGTCATAAGTTCTATCTATTTGTCTATTTTTAAATTATTATAATTTTACCACCATGGAGCCTTTCCTGAAATACCATACTGGGTTGATTGAGGGAGTCCACTTCTGGTTTTCCTATAGGCCTGCTCCAAAAATCTTCACTACAATATTTGCCTTGTTTTTTGGAAATTATTTTTTCATTGGTCTGCTCCAAATACAAGGCTATAAACTCCTTGGAGTTATCTGTATATTACATTTTCTAGGCAATCTATGAATCCATACTGATCTGCGTTGAATCATTAGGAGATTCTAAGTGATAGTAAAAGAAAGTTAAAACAACTGTATATATTATACTCTTTAAGGAGTAATAGGATGGAAAAGGTATAATTATATAACTTCTAGAAGCTACATTTACATGAAATGGTAGAAGGTTCTGAAGATGATCTATACAAAAACTTTCTATATCATTAATGGTACTTCTTATCATATTGAAATTTTGCTGTCAGAATAAAGACCTTGACTATATGCCCAAGGTTTTCCAGTATTTTAATGTGTATTTTATAAAGGAAAATAAATGTTTATTTTAATATTCTTCCTAGGAATGTAAAACTACCATTGAACTCATGATTTCAAATGTAGGTATATGATCATAGAAATTGTGATTGATGTTAATACTATTATAGTAAGTGTTTTATGTTGCTCTTTTTTTTATATATACTCTCTCACTTTTATCTAGTTTTCAGCATACTGAATTAATAGTAAATATTCATGGTTTTCCAGATTGATAGAGTCTACTAAATTAAAAATTGTTTTCTTTCATGACTACATTTATCATGTGCCTCATACTAGCCCTGTAACTTTCTTACTACACATATCTGTATTAAAACAAGTGACTTAATTTAGAGACATTTGTAGAGAAATTAATTATATGTTTGTGTCATTTTAGGCTCAAACTTCTATATGTAATTTGCTGCTTACCACTTTAAATCATTCAAAAGATAATAATTCTTTAGAAAACATTGATTTTAAAAATAGATACCAAAATTAATTTGTATGCTGAGAATCACTGTGGTCTAAAGTCTTAATCATCAGTAATATTTAAGCACTTTTAAATCTTCTTAATATTAAAAAACTATCAACTCCACTCTATTAGAATATTTAAGTCACCGTTAACTGAAGGTATTTAAATTCAGAAGTCCTAGCTGCTGAATAAATTCATTCCTTATTTTTAAAAATAAAAACGCTAATAAGTTTTTGAAACTTGGAAGAATGTAAAGTACATTCAAAATATAAATGTGAAAAACAGCTTGGTATAGTATATCAAGAAGTAATAGACATAATAATGTATCAGTCATCCCAAGTTTAAGGAGAAATCCTTTTGCTATTATAAACTTTGACTAAGGTAAGGACTTTGTCAAAGATACGTGCTTAGGAAAACTGGTAGGGCTCAGAGCTCCAAAACCAATGTTATGTCTTCTGACTTTTACAGATTCCAGGTTCTATCAAGCTTTCTGGATTTTAAAATCATTGCTGATCTTTTCCCTCAGTCTAATTTCGTGGAATAGGCAGTAATAATTGATATTTGAATTGTATAAGCAGACTCATTGTTTCTTTATGTGGAAACTGTCTATTCCCTGCATATTTGTCCATTGATGCTAATGTACAATGTCACTCTCTCATACATAATTTGTTTCTTGTTTTTTCTCAAATCGCTGCTATTTTCAACACGTTTTTTAGCATATTTTATACCTTCATATTGTCTCATATGCACATTTTTTATTATTATGAAATTTAATTTTTAAATTAAAAATTAAGTTGCATATATGCAAAAATCAAAATATGATACAGATAAGCTTATAGTATCAGTTTTCCCCAATTGTAGAAAACTTAAGCATGTATAGTTGAACTATTAAATATCTATTTACATTAATGTATTTCAGTCTTGGACTGAGTATGCCAAAATGACATAATGAATTGATAAATATTTACCAAATGCCAGAATAGTAAACCAGATGAAATGCAAAAACTTTCTCTGTCCCTTTTTCTCTCCTTTGTTGCTATATATTTTTACTTAATATGTATCCTTATTTTCCCTATACTTGAGTCTTTTCCCCTTATTTGTTTTCACGAAAAAACATGAAAACTTTCTTTTGTTGGTGACTCTTGAGGACTTTCTTTCATTGGTGACTCATGCCATTTTAGAAGCAGAAATAATTTAAGAAGCAGCAGGAAATACAGGGGATTTGCTTCAGGCCATAAAACATTTCTTTTGTGGCATATTTTGTTTGGTTGGCAATGCTCAAGATTTCCAATGGTTAGCATACTTGTATAAAAGGTTTCTTTTGGTGTTCTTAATTTAAGGACAGGGCACTAAAAGCAAAAAAGTAGTTAGCAACCTGGCCGTATGGGTATTTCCTCTTGTTAATGTTTTATTCTTAGCCTCCAACCATATAGATTATTTTCCTACAAAACATCTTTTTTAAAAATGACTATGTCATCGCTTTTCTCAAGTTTGTGGAAATGATTTTTTTGAAGGGTATTTCCTTTTGCACATTTCTCAATGTTTAAAAATTCTAATTTTACTTGAATTAGGATTGAGTCTTCAAAAATAGCCTTCTTTTAAATTCTAGATCTACATCACACAAATTAATAGTAAATATTATTTTGTTTTACCCACATATATCACAAATCTTAACCTGTTAATATCTCATGTTACTATATAGAAGTGTATAGAG